ACAGACCAACAAGGGTCACGTTAAGAATTTCTGTGATGTGGAAAAACAAAATGAGGCAACAGGTGGTGTATGAAAGCAACTCAGCAGCAGCAGATTCTTTGGATATTCAGTTTGGCATTTCTCAGTGTTCCTTTATTTACATTTTAGTTTACTTTATTTACACCTAATGATTACTGCATTTTAAATGCTAACATCTAACAGCATGCAGTCAAGGCTATGAGGGACAGGAATGAGACAGACGTTAATGATGATATGACACCTGCAAGGAACAGCCTGTGATACACACACATACACACCCACACAAGAAAAATGCTATCTACGTGCATATACACACAGATAGCACTTTTTTGTGAAAACATATAGTAAATATGACCAAGCTTTAGTCTCAGTACAAACTCTACACATACACATAACAGTTCACACATAAAGTAGTTAAGCTGCTGAGGTTGTGAAATGGTCAGTTGCATATATTGATCAGCATATCAAGCTGATAAACAGCTGATGGTTGACGTCTCTGGAGGAACTGCACCTTTCACCAGATACCTTATATATTGTGTGTTTCCTCTTTGGGTTTTCCTCAGTGTTTCCACATTTGTTTCTTCTGTCTTTCCAACACATAATCAAACAATCATGTTTGCAAGTAGAGCGCCTGTGCTCTTACAACATAATCGTTTGAGCAGGGTTGTTGTTTAGAGAGTGGAAGCAATACAAATGGAAGTATCTGTGAGTGAAACGTGTGCCATGCTTGCCTAATCAGCCGCCGGGTTGCTTTACCTAGGCTGTGCTGAAGCCCACATCATTGTGTTTTTGTGTGGCAGTGCCCTCTCCTGACCAATATTTGCAAATACTAACAGACAGAGAAATAATTTTTTCACCCACTTTATCCAACATGCATATGTTATTCCTGCTTCTTAATGTGTGGATTTTTGAAGCTGGAATTTACTCTTAATGTACAAAATGTTCAGATATTCATACAACTATGGGTTCTATTGAAAAGCAAACAAACAGTATTTATATAACAACTTTCACATATGAAACACAGCTAAGAATGGAAAAAACTATATACAAGTTGAAGAGCACTTACTCAAAAATATTATTGTATTTAATAAGAAGAGGGGACTAAAATTACAGTTTAAATAAAGGCATGAGTTGAATTTATGGGAAGAACAAGGATTTTTACACTAATGGTCCGTTTAAATACCTAAAATATTTTCTGGTCTCAAACAATTTCATTAAAATGAGAAACAAAGACAACACAACATCATAACACTGGCAAAATAATTTATATTTACTTTAGTATTAGCGTGTCTATTAATGCATAATAGTACAACTCAAAAATACAGTTTTAATACCAAAATATAAAACTTAACTTTGTACAGTCATGAGATAAAATAATGAAGTAATGGAGATCACACTCATGTATATACTTTGTATAAACGTAAAGGTACAACTAAAGGTCAGCAGCTCAGAGTGTTTGACAGCTACTGCTGTGTCTAGGTAAGAATCTCATGCTCAGATAAGATGCTCTACAGGCTGCTGGGAGAGGTTGTTGGTCTGTGGGAGGCAGTCCATGGTCAAGCCCTTGTGAGGGCAAACTGAGTACTGGGAGAGCAGAGTCACCAGGATGGATTTCATCATCACCATGGCAATGTGCTTGCCAACGCAAGATCGAGGGCCTGAACCGAATGGCTGGAAGTAACGGCGAGGAGCCTGGAGGAGGATAAAGAGGCAGGGCAGAGGACTAAACTCAGTTATTCTGCTTCATCAGCACAGTGTGGTTTGATCAGGTTTTAGGGATACTACCAAAATAAGAACACAATCATTTGAGTTTCACTGTTGCAGCTAGAACGTAAGCTTGACAGAAACATACTTACATTTTTTTCAAAGTTTTCCAGGTTGAATTCGTTCGGCTTGAGGAAAAACTCTGTCCGGTGCATGCGGCCAGTGTTAAGAATGATATTTGTGCCCTTCGGTACCCTGTAGCCATCTATGATATCATCGGTCAGGGCTCGACGCATGGTGAAGTCCACCACGGGGTGGAAACGCAAGCATTCATTGATGAAGCTCTCCAGCACCTGCAGCTTCGGAAGGTCTTCGTTCTGAAGCTGTCTCTCACCTACAGCAAGACAATCGTGGTGAGATATCATCACCGCCCTATGTTAATACTGCCCTAATACAGTCTAATGCAACAGTCCTGTAATAAATAATGGGAACACCTGTAAGTACAATGCAACAATGTCATTCATTAATACAGCTTAATAACAATAGATAAATGAATAAAAAAACAAGAAAGTATGGTTTATGGGAGGACTACTGTATTGTACTGTATTAGTTGTAGTTAGGTGTACCTAATAAACTGACATGACAAGCTTTTTTATCATGTTTAATAAAATGCAATGATAAAATGTATCTTTAATGTGCAGCAGATCGGCTGATAACTTTCTAAAATGGTTCTTAAAGCGATGATTGGTAGAGAGCATTTTAACCTCTACTATTTTTCATCAGCGTCGTTGTCTTTAGGTCTTGATTCTCCCAGCTCCTTACCCACAACAGTATCAATTTCCTGTAGCAACTGCAGCTCCACATCTGGATTCTGTTTGAGGAGCACCAGCATGAAGAAGAGGCTGATGGACAAAGTGTCCGGCGCTGCGATCACCATCTCCAACACACACTGCGTCACATTCTCAGCAGACAGCTCGCCGTGGTTCTGAAAACACACACAATGTGAATATGCTATAACAAAAAACATGTATTTTACCATTAGAGAATTTCTGACATATGGTTTGGAATGTGTGAAATGGTTTGTTGAAAGGGAAAAGGACGAAACGGGACGGGCTTTTCTCTGAAGCAGAAATTCAGTTCTAAGACTGACCTGTGCAAATATAAGTTCTGCAGTGAAGTTGATGTTGTCCAGTTTATCAGCCTGCTCCATATCTCTCCTTTTCTGTTCTACAAGGCTCTCGATAGCATTTTGCAGCTCCCGGCTGTCACATAAAAGATAGATAACACTAGACTGTAAAACAACACAACAACAACAAAAAGGAATTTGGCCAAAAAAACCTTAAGCTGAACTTGTGTATGAACAAGCATGATAATATGAAAAACAAAATGATTGCATGACTCACGCAGCTGCTTTGTGCCTCTTGTAAATCCACCCAAACTTGAAGTAGATGTCCGGTTTAAGCAGCACACACTGCCATGTTTCAAAATACTTGTGAATTTTCAGCAGCAGTTCTTTCTCTGCACACAGGGTTAACAAATGTATCAAAAACATGGTCAAAAGATAAACTCATACAGCTCCCAGGTGTGTTTCTATCCATTTCTCCAGACAGATTTTTTTCAGTTTACAATTTGTGCAACATACATTTACATGTATACTCACCATTGACAGGTACACCAAGGAAGAGTCTGTTGGAGATGTCTATCACGGTGCAGCGCAGCAAACTGAGGACATCCACATGACCCAAATTGTCCAGGTTGTCTAGGTGAGTCTGTGTGGAGGAGACACAAACCTCCACTGTCTGCTGCAACCCCGGACCTGTGAGGGCTGACACAGGAAATCAGACAGCTTACTGGTTACAAATCTATAACTAGATCAATCAGTAATTCTGCAAGGCTGAATGTGTTAAACTGTTACCTTTGATGAAAAACATGCGTATCTTTTTCCACAGAGCTACGTTGTTGTTAAATATAATGCCTCTCTCGTTCATGCCAACGCAGCTGAGTCCCTGCTTGCTCCCAAAACGTGAAGTGTAATGTCCATTCTTCAGTACATGATGCACCGCTGATGACCTTATTGTAAAAATCAGACAAACAAAGGAAAACAAACTTCAGATTACCACTTTACACTTGGTTTGACTGTTTGCTTACTTTACTTATCAGCATTAACAGAGACAACCAACCTGCTGAGTATGAGTGTCTCCTCTCCATTGATCCAAACTCTAACAATATCTCCATACTTGTTGTTGTAGTAGTTGCTGGCTGTGCCTATGCCAGTCCAGATGAATCTCACATATGACAAAAGTGGCCCCAAGCCCAGACAGAAAGAAGGACCTGTTGTGGTAAATGACAATACATGTATTTTAACTTATACCAACATGACATAAAAATAGAAATTGTCTCCAGCACCAAGAGAGAAACAGTGTCCAAGTTGATTAGTGACCACTGAGCCCACCTGGTACATGCTTCTTCTCTGTGTGGTTCCAGGTGACCAGCAGCAGGCAGACGAGCAGCATCAAGGCTCTGGTTGCCACTGAGATGCCCGCTGATCCCACTGCAGTGGCATTTGAGGACACAGAGTCCAGGTCTGCCGCTGCTGCATCCAAACCAACAGGAACTACTGCCCGTTCACAAGCAGGGATCAGATCCATGGGAAGGCAGACTGAAAGCAACTTGCCTAATGAACGGTTCAAGCGATGAAAGTTGCCTCAGCAGTCGGGGCTTTTTCTTTATATGCAGTCAGAGCTGGTCACAAGCCAGGTCAGGGTAATGCAAAAGCCACAACATAGGAGGCAAATGGTAAACAACATACTTGTAACCTTGAGGGGCTGGATATGAGCCTGTGCCCTTGACTGAACAGGATTTAATTTCATGGGTACGCAATCTGGTGTAGGCGCAAGTTTCTTTTAAGGGTTGTATTTGACATTTTGGTGATGAGAAGCGCTATCAATCTCCTTTCAACCCTCAACATCAAAGAATATATGAAGAATCCTTGGCCTTGTGAGAGTAATGAAAAGTCTGTGGTATGATTTTTACTGTTACCGTTTCATTTTTCTTAGAATTAAATTCTCTTTTTCCAGAAATGTCCACATTTCAGGTTTCCTCCATTTTTTCTATACAAGTTAGAAAGACAAGGGAAAGCTAGAATTAAATACTACATTTAAACATGCTTTATATTTTAATAACATGCTGTAACTCACATTACAGTAGCTTCAAAAGCTCACTTTGCTGTTGAATTATTATGTGAAAGGATTTACAGCGTTTATGATTACTCCCAGAACCCTCTATTAGATTACCAGTAGATGGAGAAGCAGAGCTGCGAAGCATCAAACCACACATTTAGATTGACTGCCACATACTGTATCCATATGAAGTTATGAAAATAAACTACAATGACTATTGCAAGTTGAGCAGCAATGACACCACATGCTTATCATTATCTTTGGGCAATTTCAACAGACTTTGTTATTTGTGTACAACTCATCTGCTGTGTCTTTCTCCACATACTGACAGACATGTCTGTGTAATCTGTCAGGGCAACAGGTATTTATTCCTAAACTAGATCCTGGGATGATTAAAAGACAGTACTCTTTAGTTTTTGGTATTTTTGTATTTTCATTTTTACTGTTTGCTGAACTCAACAGTTTTGTTTTTTCAGTCAGCCCTTTCTGTGAACTATGAACT